ATTTTAGGGATATATTTTAGGGTTATTTTTAAAAGAGGAGGCAATGGGAAAAAGAAAGAAGTCAAATGCTCTAGATGTTTCAAATTTTGCTGTCTGGGAAAATAAGATAGAAGCCTGCTTGTTTCACAATTTGGTACAATCATCCTAGAGGGCTCTTGAATATACCTGCTATTACCTGATGCATTTGGTAGCCAGTTTCTTTGGCTTCTAGTGTTAACAAAATCTGTCCATTTTGATTTGGCAACCTAGCCTTAGAATGCTTATGTTTACAGTTTCACTGATGGTCCACCTTTGTGTAATTACTGCTAAACTGCTAGGCATGAACTAATTGGATGTTGCTATTTCTCCATTTAAGTATTCGCTGTTATTATGCAAAATTTGTTTCCTGTGAGATGACTGCATATCAGAGTGACTGGTATCTTAAAAATGCAATAACCAGGAAGGAAGGATGGAATGCAGCAGATGATACAATTTTATTTTACATACTACATTTGATTGGTGAGTTCTTAAAAATAAGGTTTGTTAGTTTAGCCTAAAGAAGGTTAAAGACAGGCTCATTTTTGAGGAAAGAAAAGACAAAATTAAAGGTAAAAATCACTAAGAGAACTAATAATTAGCCAAGTGGCAAAACTGAAGATGACTTTTTTTTTGGCTGCCTTTAAATTATCCTTCATTTTGTATCACTTTATAACTGGGACTCTGTAATTCTGTTCATCAGGTAAGTCTTGCTCTGCAAGAGTCTCTTGCTCTGCAAGAGTCATTGAAATAACAGAAGTAATTTTGTTCTTGTATATTCTAATTTTAGGTATTATGTGAAAAAGCAACAAAAAGCAAATATTGGGCTTAATATCAGTTACATTATCAATTAAGAATTGCAGTCTTCATCCTGAAGAACTGTACTGCTTTCTCATTTTATACCATCAACCAGCCCAGCATTTTAGAATTCTAGTGGCCTCTAGTGGTTCTGTGAAACTTTCTCCCATCCTATCTTTAATTTGACGTCTAGACAAGTATCTATGCCCTGATTCTGCCAAAGCCCATCCCATGTTTGAATGAACGCAGTGCAGTCCAGCCACTCTTATTCTTTGCTACTAATTCAGTTCAAAATCTGGGGCTGTTTTTGGATTGGGGTGTAAATCCTGAGGAACACTCAGAAGGTTCCTAAAATTCTCAGTACTAGGCACATAAGAAAAAAACACTGGAATGATGTATCAGATGCTAAAAGGCATGCAACCAAGAGGACAAAACTTGGATGTTGTTTTCCAAGAAGTTCCCCAAAACCCCATCAAGATAGAGAAAAGGCTTACTTTTTTTCTTGTGTACTATAGGATGCCAATAGAGATTTTTTTTGTCAGTTCCAAATATTTTTTTTAAATAAAAGGTGACTATTTCACAATGACATTTTTCAATCGTTATTGCTTGTGTAGTAGAATGTCTCTCTCATGTTCTACATACATTATTTTAACACCATCAAGAAAGACTTAAACTCTTCTTAAGCAAGGAAAGGCTCAGCTCAAATTTTTTTTGAAGCAACATTGGTTTTCAAGAGCAATCGATGATCTCCTTAGGCTTATTTGCTTCCAGACAGCACAGGGAAATGACCAAACTTCTATTTCTATTTTCTAAGTCCTGAATGGACTTAGCTGCTCTGTAGGAGACCTTTGGGATAACAAAATTTCCCTTTCTAGCCCCAATTTATAGCAGTCTAGCTATTTTTGGAGAAGCCAACAGGAAGAATTAAATCTGGCTCCGTCCTGCAAGATGGAAATGGTACATGACGATTAGGACTCAGAAATAAAAATTCACTTGGGTAAAATGATTACCCTTGAGCACAGAGAG